TGGAATGGGTCTTGGCTTATTTTTAAGGATTTTTGTTAGTTTCCAGAAGGGCTTTGCACAATCTGGGAGAGAGCGGATCTTGATTTCTGAGGTCCACCATCCTGGCTTGGATGGTTTTTGTAAGACGATTGCAATGGATCTTCAAGACACGTAAACCAGAACGCTGCTATTGCCTTCGGATGGAGTTACGGAGTCTGATGAGTTCTTTGGTAATTCTATCAAGGTTCAGAGTATTGCTCACCTGTCTGGATACTGGCACGTGTTGTTACCTGGCCCGGGATATCACCTCCTCGATGGAACGCAGACACCGGTCAACGTCTTCGAGCGTCTCCGGTAGGACACCGTAGTCGACAGTGGAGTCAACACAGTGTTGGAACTGCTCCCAGCTGACACGATGGTAGTTACATCGGGAAGCTTGGATTCGGTTGACGGATGAGCCTACTTCGGCCACCACCGGATAGTGGTCCGAACTCAGCTCCTGATGGGTCACAGGTAGCGAGATGTTGTCTCCCATGTTGCTGATGAAGATGTTTATCGTGGAGTGAACGCCAGACCGGCTCAACCGGGTGGGACAGTCCGGCGCTAATATGGCGTAGCGAGCCTCTTGCAGGTCGTCGTTCAGGATGGTGCCGTTTTGGTTGCGTCGACTGTTGCCCCAAGCCTGGTGTTTGGCGTTCAGGTCGCCAGCGATGATGTACTTTTCGCGCCGTCGAGTTAGTTTGATGATGTCCCTCCGCAGGTCTACTGCCGACCCCTAAAGTTTCGTTGGTTTTTAGCTGGAAGCTCGGCAGAAGCCGACAGTAGATGTTTCTCCTTACAGCAATGGCTACTCCTCCTCCCCCGGAGCTGGTTCGAACATGTCTTAGAAGCCTGAAGTCAGGAAGGTAGATGTTTACTTCCGGTTTCAGGTGGGTTTCGGTGATAACGGCAATGTCGATGTTTTGTTTGTTGAGGAAGTCAACGAACTCGATGATCTTGCTCTTGAGCGAGCAAGCGTTCCAGTTGGCGATCTTGATGGTTTCACGGTCCATAACTGAGCATGAAGGTATCGACAGCTTGGAGCTGGTCAGATTTGTTCTTAATGGTGTTGGCAATGTCGTGCATCTTGAGGAAGATGATCATTAGTTCCGCAGCGGTGAACTACGAACCATCGTTGATTTCTGGCTGCGGTAGGGACGGTCCATCCTGACGCCAGTTTAGCCCAGGGGCTGTGGGGAGATCCTGCGGCTGTGGTCTCTTGGCCTGAGCTTGCAGGGACTCTGGCAGTTTGAACTTGAGCGGTGGCGGCCGCCGCAGCAGCCAATCGTTGATTGAGTGGCAGCGGTGTCAGCACTGTAATCGGTCGTCGAGGTATCGGTGGGAAGTTCTGGTCATTAATTTCCGGCACCTTCTTGCGGCCAGGCTGGTTTCTCATCGATGCTTTCTTCCGAATCTCGATGTACTCGGTGCGCTTCGGGCAGGCCGTGCTTGTAGCTTTGTGATCAGTACCGCAGTTGGCGCAAATGGGATCGGCTTCATTGAGTATGTCGCAGGCGTCGGTTTTGTGTTGTTTGCCACACTTGATGCAGCGGCTGACCATATGGTAGTTCTTCGTTCCATGCCCGAACAGCAGGCAGTTCGAGCAATGGGTGACTCTACGGCTGACCGGCTTGTACCGCTCCCACTTCACCACAATGTTGAACAGGACGCGGAGGTCCATCAAAGTTTTTGAGTTCTTCACAAGGTGAACCAGGTATAGCTGGTTGCGGTACTTGGCGGCTTTGTTGTGGCGGGCCATCTTGTGAATTTGGACCGGCTTCAGTCCATTAAGCTCTTCCAAGATGCCGCCTGTGTGTCGTATAGTCCGCGCAGGACCACCTTGAACGGCTTAACAGCCTCGATGTCATGGGAGAAGTACTCCACCCTGTGATTGGTCCAGTGTGGTCTTTGCCGCCTTGTAATATTTCAATGCCGGAACCATCAGTTTGTATCCTTCCGTGCACAGCTGGATGGTGCACCGGACACCCTGCGTGATGAAGAAGTTTTTTTTTTTTCGCAGTCCGGGAGGGAAGCCTTTCACGTAGAAGGGCGGCATTCTGTCCTTCTTAGGCGGTCCTGCAATAGTGGGCGGCTTCTTCCTTTTAAGGATGCTCATGTGGGTTGCAACTCGCTGCTTGGAGACAGCCTTTCGTTGTGTACTGGAGAACACCACCACTCACCACATGGTGATTGAATAAACACTATTTGGTGAGACCGGATGGAATTCAACTTTGATATCTGTGTTAGGGAAATCGCTTTTCGCAGGCAACCGGTGATAATTTTATTATAATTTTCCTTGAATTGTTTTCTGTCGATCTTGTTTTCCGTGCTGAGCACCAATGCTATCGACGTTAGGACTACACCTGGACCCTACATATCAACCCATCAACTCATGAACCGGGGACCAACAGTTTTACCTCCCTTCCGAAGGGAAGCCTCTATAAACCCGGGCCTGCTGGGATGAGAGGCAATCACGCTTACCACTACACCACTGGCGTTACTTATAATTTTAATTATCATAGCAACAGTTGCACATAACCGTGCAATTTTCAATAGCGACAGTTTGAAAAATGATAAAGTCTTCATTTTAACAGATCCGTAGAAAAAAATCCTATCGATTGGCGTATTAAGAATTAAAAGCCATCATCTCTGGATCAAAATCAAACCATTTTCATGACGCGAACGACTTTGGTTTATGAAATCGCACCCCCAATGTTGTACTTGAAGGCATGGTATGTTAGATTTAAACATAGATAGAGCTGGAACTAGGCGTAACAGCTTTTGTAAACAATGACTTATCTCGATATTTTTTTAGGAATTCAAGGCACGCCCACGCAAACCAACATTACCGTCGGGTAGGGGAAGTCTTGCCCTACCTGAGGATGATGTTTATTTGCGTGGGCGAGCCTTGACTTCCAAGACATCATCGAAAGAAGACATTGTTTACAAAAGCTGTACAAACTCCAGCTCTATCTTGATATGGGAACTGACATCCTATTTCAAATGTCCAAAAAATACTCTTTTACAAATTTACGGTGGTCCGTTTTGTCGTGATGGTTGAGTAATGCTGAGCTATTAGGGTGTTAACCACATATCAGGCTGGTGAGCTGTATGTTATTTGAAATGAGGCTTGACATAGATGGCCCACAGCGATTCACGAAGAGCTACTGATTCCGATCAATAGCGGTGCGGCTTCTTTCTTCTTCTATGGATGCTCATGTGGGCTGCAGATCACTGCTTGCAGGCAGCCTTTCGTTGTGCTCTGGAGAACAATGTTCAACGCCACGCGCTGGAAGCACCGCTATCTGCTGCAGCTAATGCAGACTACCGGACACCACCACACACGGTGATTAGAACTGAATCCGATCAGCGGTTGAGACCAGCCTAGGTTTCCAGCTGATTGCGAGGGGCCTTTTATTGCATACTCGAGTACACCACCACTCACCACGAGGTGATTGAATAAACACCGTTTGGTGAGACCGGATGGAATTCAACTTTGAAATCTGTGTTAGGGAAATCGATTTTCACAGGCAATAGGTGATAATTTTAATTACTAAATCAACAGTTGCACATTCGTGCAATTTTCAATAGTGACATTTTGAAAAATGATTCAGCCTTAAGAGCAGCTTGGCGCAGCTACTCTTGAAGATGGCGGGAGGGACATCCGTTCCGCCATAAGTAGTACTGTTGTAGCGGCACTAGGTACTGTGATCCCGGACCGAAGAAATGACTGGTTTGACGGCAAATGCAAACTGTTAGTAGACAATAATTGTATTGTCAATACATTCTATATTGACGTCAATACATCGGTATTGACAATAATTCTGTATTCACATCATCAATATTATTGTCAATAATTCCCCTTCGTGCCAATAAATTGATACGTGTGAGGTTCGCTATATACAAACAAGCGCCGAAAAGACAAAACTCGGTTTTTCGAAGGAAGAAGCGTCAACAGGAAGACCGAGATCGCGAAGTGATGGAAAATCTGTACCAAATGTTGTCCTGGAGTGGTACGAAGCCAACGGGGTCTCTTTCGTACCCAAGGACATGACCCCCCCCCCCCCTCCAACGCACCGGAACTAAGGCCCATCGAAAAAATACTGGGCTATTATGGAACAGGCATTACGGAAGCATCCCAAGGAGGTCAAATCTGAGGAAGACATGAAGAAAAAGTGGGTTTCCGTACAGAAGAAGCTGTAACCAGAAGTTGTACAGAACATAATGAGTGGAGTTAAGCGTAAGGTACGAGCGTACGGTTATGGTATTGAATTTGAAAGAAAAAAATATGCCAAAAGCTTACTAATGGGTTATATTTTATTGTCTGAAAACTTGAAAAGGATCGGTCCACTAGGTAATTTTCTACAGCGTTTTTTTTCCGTGATCCAATTTGATGTGCGACAACCCTTTAAACTTAATACTATCATCATATTATATATTAAAAATAATATATACACACCTGAAACCCGTCCCTACACAAAATCAAATAAAAAGGTTTATGTATGGTAAACACGTCCGGACATTAACGAGAATATGCGTTTATATATTCACTATCGCAACTACGGGTAATCATCGAAAGTACTTGCATTTTACTCAGGCACTTTTGTGCAAATTGCAATCATCCTCTCCTACTCGAAATGTGCTACGACCAACCTGGCACAACGATGTCCTATACACACTCTGATCAAAGCGCAGGGATGAAATGTCTTAAAAATGTCTGCCGAAAATAAAAGTCTTCACGGGATTTAAAATGGTTTCAAATTGAAGACACGTCTTCAAATCTGGCGTCCATGCACAGGCCGACATTGCATTTATTTTCTTTATATGCGAAAATTAAGCGATCTGAAATAACTGACGTATGGGTCAGGAGAAATAAATTCTCAATTAATCAAATTTCCCTGGAAATCTTCTAAATGATTCACCTTCATTAATTACTCAGCTTTCACTAACCCATGCTCTCTTTTTCCGCCACTCAATTTCAGAAACCAACAGCCAATCACCCAAGCTGCGACCGTACCCGAGCTGGAGTGCCCACCGACAAATGACCGAAGAGGAGGCACCGGAAATTGTTTCCCCATTCCGGATACGAGCCGACCGGTGCGGACGACTATGGGTGCTGGACACCGGGATTTCTGATCTTCTGAACACCGCCAAGGTTCTGGCTCCCACCTCTTTACTGGTGTACGACCTGCACAACGACAACCTGCTGAGACGTTACAAATTCCCCAAGGATCACATCAAAGAAGGATCCTTCTACGCAAACATTGCAGTTGAAGATTCTAACTGTGACGATACGTTCGCTTATGCAGCTGATCTTGGATCACCGGGATTGGTAGTGTATTCGTGGAAACTACAGGAATCCTGGCGTGTCCAACATCACTTCTTCCATCCCGATCCGTTGGCTGGAAATTACACTATCACCGGAATTTCATTCCAGTGGGACGATGGACTGTTTGGAATGGCTTTGTCACGACCTCAGAACGATGGATTCTCCACCATGTACTTCCATCCTCTGAGCTCGACGAATGAATTTTCTGTTTCTACGAGGATACTCAGGAATCAGACACTAGCCACGTCTGATAAAATCTACAAGGAGTTTAAGGTTCTTGGCTCCAGAGGACCAAACGGTCAAGCCGGTGTTGCATTCCTGGATCAAAAGACGGGAGTCATTTTCTACGCCTTGCCGAACCTTAACGCCGTTACCTGTTGGAAAACATCCAACCGAGCATACACTATCAAATCGCTCGGACGAGTGTACATGAGCGTCACCGATATGGTGTTCCCTAACGATGTTAAAGTGGATGACGAGAGCAACCTGTGGGTCCTATCGGATCGACTACATCAGTACATGTACTCCAGTCTGGATCCGAAAGATGTCAACTTCCGTATCCTAACTGCAACCGTGAAAGACGCTATTGAAAACACAGCCTGTGATCTTAAAATCAAACCTCTGCCGGACATTATCACCAACCTGGGCGATATTCTACGGCCATCAACGACAACTGTGCCTCCCAAATCTGGGGCACAAATGGTGCTCATTTCCCACGCGGTTCTTCTACTCGCTGTTTTCGCCAAGTTGCTTCTATGAACTTTAGCATGTGTGTTAAAACAGTGTGGTGGTGCTCGATAAAATAGTCCTACAACAACAACAACATAAATTCAATCAGTCTTGGAAAAGACTCAAAACTGCTATCAGTAACTGTAAGGAAATATTAATTTCATTTTAGCACAGCTTTTTCAACGCACCGCGCAGAACCAAGGAAATAAGGCACAGGAATTCACTCAAATCAGTCAAATAACGTTAAGTTTGAAGGCTCTTGTTTGTTACTTCATTACCTGTAAAGTAAGCTACCGAAGGAAAACTATTGTAAATTATTTTCGCTTTCATAGGTAAGGCAACTAAAACTAGAATTTTAGAGAACCGTTGCAGGAATCGTTAGACGAGATTCGCAAGATTACCAGATATGATAAATGTTAAATAATCAGTATTGGAAACGAACAATCACAATCTTGTTTTAAGCTATCACGTTGTAAATTATTGTTTTAACTATTTAACTCGATTGTAGAGTCGATCGGGGACACGATTTTAAATGAACGCAATCTTGTGTGGAAACATGCAACGGTAGAAGCAGGAAAAAAAAATGTGCTATATACTAGCTGATTCATCAATAATTGGGACACATTAATCAAAATGTTTTAGCAAAATTAAAGGTGTAGAATTGCTATCAAGATGCTTTCCGTGTAAATTAAACCGTCCACGTGTCATATATCGAATGTTGTTAGTCATATTGTATGAAGGAAAGAAGTATAGTTGTTGCAAGAACCAATCTCAATTGCTTATTTGATCCGAATAATGGCCGTTTAAATTTATCTAAATATAAATTGCGCAAGTTGTACCTTAGTAGACTCCTGAGCGAAACATATTTGCTCAGTTACGATCCCTCACCTCACTCACAGGCAAGCGCATAACTACTTCGGCTTTAGTCCGCTTTTGTCGATTTGTTTTAATTTTCGATGTCGAACTGTATTGCTATGCCGCTACTCGCATGTCAGACCCATTTGAAAAAACGTCACATTTAGAAAATAACAGTGAAAGATAGTTCTTGTTTTTCAGCTAAATCTAGTTATGAAGTCCATTACTAATGGTCAAAATAGCTTCGTTCCAAGTTGAGTTCATCGTTGGTTAAATTAATACATTTATAGCAGTGATATTTTGTTGGGATACGTAGAATGAAATCATGCTCATGTACCTCTCATAATCTCAGCGCAAGCTTGTGTTAGGTACTAGCTCGTTTATCAACTTGCATTGCAACATTTCCTTGACGACATTCTCTGCACCAAGGGCAGGCATCTCCCTTCGGACTGCTTCAAATCGAGGATAGTAGAAGACCACTTGCTCCGGTATATCGCCACATTTCCACACTCCGAACAGAGAGGTGACGTTGCGTGACCAAACCGATGCAGGTACTTCCTGAAGCAACCGTGACCAGACAGGAACTGGTGGAAGTTTATTTCGTCATGCTTCCTGTTCACCCACGTCAAAATAATCGGAATTACCCGATGAGTACATTTACTGTTCTTCACCGATTCCCATTCCTGTTGCCACTAGCCCATCGCTTATAGCACTCACTGTCCTCCGCCAGGGTGATGCCGATAGGGATCATTTCAGTGATAAAGCATACTGCCTCCGACGAGATGGTTCTGTACGCACTCACAGTTTGCATGGCCATTAGACTGATGCAAAATTTGACATTTTCGCTCCGCAGTGCTCAATTGGTTCCAATTCAGGTCTAGATTAGCCTCCCAAGGTTTGAACTGATTTGGTAAGAAACTGACTACCATTTGAAGTTTATATGGGAATTACTATGGTGAAACCAAACTTTTTCTTCGTAGTCTTCTATCCTTCTTCCATATTGCACCGTTAACCGTTTCTATAGCTATTCTTATGGAAAATTTTCTCAGCTACAACTTTGCCGAATATTGTTTTTCTGCCACACATCAAATTAAATAGTTATGAATTGTTTAAGATATTGATAATCTTATGGCATGATCAAGAAACTGTTTTGTGGGCAACACTGTATTCTGCAGTGTGACATAGTAGCCATGATGTTTTAGCTCTATTCTACGCGCCAGAAACATCAATGTTGCCTGCTGAGCAGTTGATTGAGCATAATCATAAGACAATAGTGACTTGAATCATTAATATATTTTGATCCTTACATTTTATCGAAAAATGGTCTTTAACAAAGTTGTAGCTGTGAAAATTTACTACAAGTACAGCTATCAACTTTTACAGCAGAGTAATAGAGTTAATTATTTGATAGATATGAAAACAAAATTTGGTTTTCCCATAGTAATTTCTATATAAACTTCAAATGGCTTGTGCCATGTCAGTTTCTTACTAAATGACTTCAAATTTTGGAAGGCTAATCAGGAACCAAATTGGAACCGTTTGAACACTGTGGAGCAAAAATTTCAAAATTTGCATCAGTCTAATGGCCATGAGCCGTTACGTACCCAACAAAAATTGATTAAAGGCTGAATAATCCAGTTTTTAGCTGAAGAAGTTTGTTTTTGCCTGAATAAGCTTTAAGCACTGTTCAATTTCGTTAAATTCTGCTTCGTTTCCAGCGCTGCAACTCAGGTTGGACCACCATATCTCAGTATCGACGTGGATACACTAACCAGGAGCCGTCTCTTGCTACTGCTTGGTCCAGAGTTGGTCGGCATTATTCTGGTTATCGCAGGACTATTCGACGTGGCTATTGATGTTCAGCCGGTCATTTCAGGTATTTCAACACGCGCGTCGTGGCTATGGCGTGCTCTCCGACGGTGATTTCTGCCCACTGCAAGCTTTACAACTACTGACTAATAGCTCTTCCGTTTTGTGGCGAACTATCTGCAGCTTCGCTCCTTGCATCCAGTTACCAATCATGTCGATCGCCTCGGTCGCCAACATGTCCACCTTTTTCAGCGTATGGCCTGTGACCGTCAAGACGTCGTCGTCCGGGAATCCAACGATCTCAACTCCTTTGGGCAGCTTCAGTGTTAGCACGCCGTTGGGCATCCCGTTCCAGAGCGTTGGACCAAGGATGCAGCCTTGTGGAACTCCCGCCGTGAGCTTAGTCGATCTCTGTCCCATGTTTGTCTCGTAGACCAGAACCCAGTTCTGGAAGTAACTCCTCAGCAACCCGTACAGGTAGTCCTGAACCCTCATTCTATACAGCGCTTCGGCGATGGTCTCCCAGTTGGCGCTGTTAAATGCATTCTTAACATCGATCAGCGCTTCTGTTTGGACGCGTTCTCGGCACTCTCAACCACTGTCCCAATTACAGCTACCGTTGATCTCCTTTTCCGGAACCCGAACTGCCTCTTCGACAATCCGTGTTCACTCTCCGTGCATTTTGTCAGCCTGCTTAGGATGATTCTTTCCAAGAGTTTTCCGAGTGTATCCAACAGTCATATAGGCCTACATAATGCTGGATCCCCCGGCGGTTTTCCTGGTTTCGGCAGCAACACTAGCTTCTGCATCTTGCACTTATCAGGGAAGTGAACATCCAGGCATTTCTGCAGCCCTATTCTGAACATGTCCGGGAACGCTTTCAACGCTTCCGACACCACGTTGAGGATTCCATCTGGACCGGGAGCTTTCTTCACCTTCAATCTTTTCGCCACTGCTACGAGTTCCTCGTTGGTGACTTCAACGGTATCTTCCTCTCCATCTCTGTACGGTGTAGGTGGCCGTCGTTGGGTCGTGCTTCGGGAAAAGTCCTTTCACGATTACTTTCAGCTTCTCTGGCACATTTTAGCGGGCATCGTTGGACCTCTGGTTGGATCAGTGTCTCGATACAGCTTCTTTAAACAATTTGACTTGCTTTATCTTTCGTTTAAGTGCGTCCTTGGCCGCTCGGAACACTCCTCTACGTTCCTCTCTGGCTGCTTCTGTTCTTTCTCTCTGATCACGTCTTTTGGCTTTAAGACAACTAACGTGGAATGTGCTAAATGACTCGTTCAAGCAGTAAGCCAATATGGTCGTGTCACATGCTCTCACTAACGTTTCTGTCAACTCGTCCGTGTTCAGATCCGTGGGGCCACTATCCACCCGGAGTGCTTCTACGAAAAGATCCTTGTTGAAAGCCTTCATCTTCCACTCCGGTCGCAAGTTCTCGTCCTCTGTACTGCCACAATATTGCGTTGGCCGATTCCATATCGGATCGCCTGATGGTCGCTATAAGTATATCCTCCGCACACTCTCCAATTCATGTTTACCACCAGCGATGGACTGCAGAAAGTGACGTAGATGATGGATTCCCGGCCATCTCTGCGAAAAGTGCTGCTGGTGCCTTGGTTGGACAGTCTAACTACCAACTTTGCCAGGGCTTCCAGCAGACTGTGGTCTCTTGTGTTGATACATCTGCTTCCCACTCCACTGTCCAAGAATTGATGTCTCCTCCGATGACCACCGGTCTTCATCCGATCAGCTCTCATATGAAGCAACTGCATATGAAGATTCCATAAATTTTGACGATCACGAAACCTTGGTATGAACTTGCAACCACTTCTTTAATGGGGTATCTGCACATAACTTGAATTGCAGCCATCCCAGCTCTATCCGCCACCCAGTTACCGTTATCGAGAGGGACCCGATATGGGTCCGCAATGATTGCATCGTTGCACTTTGTTTCCGTTGTTGACTGCCAGTTGCTCAGCAGTGTCGCAATGATTGATGTTTATTTCGGTTACCTCCATTGCTGTGCAGTCACCAGTCGAAAAGTTCTTCCACCCTCCTTTTTGCAGAGCATGCAACTCGGTTGCTTCGTGCAGCCTCTTGCAATGTGACTCTTCTCTTCGCATTTCCTGCACAGATCTTGGTGACCGAAATTCATGCATTCGAAACATCGCTCCAGTTGCTTGGTAACTCGAAGAGTGGCTTTCAGTGAGCACCCTTACCACCCAACCTTACTTTGCTCGCCTTCAAGAGCTTGTTTGCCGCAACTGTAAGAAACCGTACGCCTTCCTCATCCGGACATCTCCCAGATCACAGTGCACCTTCAACGCACTTCTCAGCTTCTCTTCTGTAGTGATCTCGTCCAGATCCCTAAAATCGACCACTGGCTCCTGCGAGGGGGACGGCTCTATCTACGATGCAAATAAGATTGTGTTTTGCTGTGGCTAGCTGCGCGCACGCTGAGTAGATAGAAAGAAGATTGATGACGGTTCTGAAGATTTCCTGCAAAAAGATGATGAGCGATGCAAGTAGATGCGACAAATGAAAGAAGATTTTTCGAAAATTGATTCGCTAGTGTGAGATTTGTTGAGCATCTAAACTTGAGATTTAGATGTGTCGCCCCCTCGGTCTCCTGGGATAGTGCTTTTACGCTCGCCCCTTCGCCCAGACTTTTATACTGCTGAACAAGAATAGGAGAGATCGTGGCAAGTGTGTGCATCGTTCTAGCCTAGAAAAAGTTAATCCTACTCAATTTAAAGATGTTTTCATGGACCGTGTACGCCAACATCTGTTCTCAGTTTGCTAAACTTCTAAATTATCTGGATCGTTTTATTCACTGATCATTTTTTTTTTTACGCAATGGGTCGATCGTTTTGTGCAGTTTCTGGATTCAAAAGAAGGCCCTTCCAGTATTTCTTTCACCAGGATTTGTTATTTACTTATTATTTTTATTATTAAAATTTTTAGCAAGCTGCCAAGTTCATCTCATAATTTTCGGATTAATGCTACAAACAGGTAAACAGTTTTCAAAACATTATAAATTTCAGCTAACCCTTGTGTCGGTTCACTAAATTTTAGGGAAGTTGATGCCTGGACAAAATTTTGTCGCATCCTGTCACTCAGCAACATTAACGAACGGTAACATTTAAACCAACCGCACAGGAGTGGAACTTCGGATCAGAAAGTGGCTCCACTTGTCATTTGAGAACACTAGCGCATCTAGCGGTAGAAGGCATCTTCTGCCTGCATTTAAGATAGGCAGCATGCTATGATAGTGTGAGTGCACATAGGAAGCCCGTGTGGAACGCTACCACAACACATCGCTTGTTAAGCAGAAAAACGAACCACCTTTGATTCACCGATTTGTTTGCACTTCGCCTTCTGTTCTGTGCCAACCGGTCAGCACTCTTGATTATTTCAGTTACCGTGAGGACGTAATTTGTGATTAGCCCTGGTCCCTTTCAATTTGTCTCATTATTTATGTATGGTCCTTATATTTGAAATGACGTTTCACGTTCATCTAGTGATGGCCGATTTTCATTCGAATAATCGATTAATCTATTAACGAACCGAAAAGTAAAATATTTGTAATATTTGCCGATATAAGCATTAACTTCTCCAGAGGATCATCGACCATCGTTTCAAACATATGCTGCACTCTAATTGATGGAAAAATGACAGTACAGCGAACAAAAAATAATCGATTAGTTGTTAATAGAGCAATTAAAAAATGGGAAATCTCTGATTTTGGGGTGATTGATTTGATAAAAAAAAGGGAGCAAAATTTCATCTCTACCAAGGGGACAGCAAAACCACAAATTACCTTTCATTGGATGAAAGAGCGCACAAAAATAGAAAGTTTATCTTCCGGCTGTTTCATCTTAGTATTCTTCTTTGCTAATACTGTCTGCCACACTAATACTGCAATTTTACTAAACTTATGAATTGATTACACACTGAAATAATAATGCTACACACTAAGAAATTATGATCGACTTCGGTAAATTTTTACCGATCTTTCAACAGCTGAACTTTCGGTTAAATTTTGATCCTCATTTCAAAAGCAGTTTCACTAAACTTTAATTTCAAAACACTGTCAGCGCTTGAGTCTTGCCATTGTGGTGAAGATTTTTTTTTTTTTTTTGTTTTTAAGCCTTGATTTAAAATGCTTGATTTTTACCGAAAAGTTAAGCTGTTGAGAGTTCGGTTATTATTTCTAAGTGTGTGGGGGGCGACCCCGGCGTACTGGTTAGCATCCAAACCTCTCACGCCAAAGTCACGAGTTCAAATCTCACCCCCGGACAAGTCACGAATGATCCAAGAGCGTTAAAGTGACTTTAATTTAAAAAAAAAAAAAAAAAAAAAAAAATTCTAAGTGTGTACGAATGGATTTAGTCCCCTTTCTCACAGGGAGAGGGTATGACCAAAGAAAAATACTAAGATGAAACAGTCGAAAGAAAAACTTTGTATTTTAGTGTCCTCTTTCACGGTCCCTTTCATCCAATGAATACCCCTCGTATCATAGGCGTAGCAACACAAAGGTTTTCGGTGAAATGGCGTTCGGTGAAATGGCGTTCGGTAAAATGGCGTTCGGTCAAATTTTCCATAGATTTTTTTTTTCGTCCCTCCCTAGCTCAAAACCTGGCTACACCCTGGCCTCGTATGCAAGGTAGTTTTGTGGTTATGCTGTCCCGTCGGTAGAGTTGAAATTTTGCGCTTTTTTATTAAAACAATCAGATCAAAATCAGAGATGTCCCATTTTTCAATTACTCCTATAATTTTCCACCAATGAGAGTGCAGCACATGTTTGAAACGATGGATAATGATCCTCTGGAGAAGTTAATGCTTTTATCAACATGATATAACCAATTGCAAACATTTTAATTTTCGGTTCGTTAATCGATTAATCGATTATTCGAATGAAAATCGGCCATCACTAGATGAATGTGAAACGTTATTTCAAATATAAGGGGTGTTCATAAATATTGAGATAAATTGAAAGGGACCGGGGCTAAACACAAATGATGGCCTCACGGTAACTGAAACACTTTTTTAATTAATTAATTTATAATATTTTCTAAAATGCAACTTCAAGATGAACTAGCCCAATGGCAAAAAATCTCATAAATAATTATTAAAACAAAACTAAAATCTATCATCCTAACCAATGGGAAAAAACCGTAATTTTACTACAAAGTGAACTGATTTTGTTTAAGCTTCCTAAGTGTAAGGTTCATACTATGTAATCACATCAACATATCAGCTCTATTGGATTGAAAAGAGTCAAACACTTCAAGGTACAGTTGAATGTGTGTTCTGTCTTAAAATCCCAGTTCAATTTATTACCGCAGAACAATATTGCCACATTGTTGATTAATTGATTAGTTTGTATGATAATGGGCCTGCGCTGCTCATATTCCGAACAGCTCTGCCACTGATAAGAATGTGGGTGTATTCAATTGTATACCTACCATTAATGATGACTCGCAAGCTTCGACTGCAAATGCTAGGATAAATGGTTACAACCGATTTGCAGCGCAAATCTGAAATTTATGGCACACTTAATTCATTTTTCGATACGCATATTTAATCACTATGTATTTTTCCACATACATCCATTATCTGCGATTGGTTCAACGTTCTTTTCGCACTTCAACAGGATCATGATTATGAACTGATAAACTTGAAGTATTTATGGTAGAATCAAACAATTTCCCAACCCATGTTACAACTTTATGTATAAGTAGTAGCACCTCGATTCGTTTTCCACTTATGGTGTATTTCTCTATCCTGGATGTTGTGTTCCGACAAAAAATGAATCTGTTCAGTAAAAATGTTAATCGCTTAGTAGTGCTTCTTGTAGACTAAGGATGATCCGTGACAAGCTGAAGCAGAAATTTTGGGATATTCTGCACTTTTTGTGTTACGATCCGAAACGACTGGTGAGAATAATTGTGCTGAGCATTTGCAGTGTGGTGGTGATGTTCCAGGTTTGTGTCGAAGATATTATGCGAATAAAATCGCAATGTGCTAGAAGAGTAAATTTTGTTCCATTGCAACTAGCTGACAGAATGCTTCCACAAGTTGATCCATCCGCCCATCACGACCCATTCGCGGTTCGATTTGAACGAATCGATGACCTATCCGTCGATTACATTCTGCCGGAACCCACCGTACAAGTACGATGTGATGGAACGGTACAATCTGTCTCAGCATCCAAAGTATGCCAGTTCATTCAATAACTTCGACTTCAATCAGAGCACGCTGGATGAGCTCTTTCGGGAAGCAACCTACAATCAGAGTGAATTCTTCATACAGTACGGATTGAATGGACTCGTCGATAGTGAGCACTCAACTCCGAAAATAGAATCATTTTGGATTAATTGGGATACATTTCCAGATGTCGAAGTGATCAGTAGCATGCATTTGGATATGGGACAGTGCTACACGTTGAACCCATTGACAACGACAGATCGTTCGTGGAAGGGCGTCGGTTACTCCATTCTGTTGCAGCATGACACCAGAGATGACGTTTACTATCTAGGAGAAGATCTGCCCGGTTGGCACGTTTTCATTCATGATCCGACGGAGGGATTTGCAGGTGAAGTACATGCAGTGAATAGATATATTTTTTTTAAATCATGGCTGGTGGTTTAACAGATGTTTATTGATTTATTGCTATAGTTATGGACTTTGACTATTTGTTTAGTATTACTTCTGCGTGAAGTCAACGATTTACATAGTTGAAGATGCTTATTTCAAATAACAGACTGAAGTGGTAATTTATATACGATAGAGTGAGGAGATGAAACTATAGAATTGATAGTTCCGTTTAGAGTAAAATGAAAATTGCATATAGAGGAGTAGACACTTTCACTCTATCGTATAAAAATTACCACTTCAGTCTGTTATTTGAAATTAGCATCTTCAACTATATAGTTATGGTATTTATTGTAAGATTCTGTATGAAGATAGATTTATCTTAGTAAAACGCTTGATTTTCAATTTTCTATCTAGTGGACTAATTGTAGTCAAATTAGTGGCATATGAATAATGTTTATTACGACTAAAAATATTGCGCATTTTGCACCAAATTAGACTCCTGTGCAAAAAATAATTGCACAGTAATATTTTCGCACATGCCAGAAAATTTAAAAATCGACTTATTTGACAGCAGTAACAGCTTTAGAACATTACTAGCAAGCTACACTGTTGAATTAAAACTCTAGAAAGCATTAAGAAGCTCCATATTTGACTATTATGACCAGTGCGAAAATATTAACGTGTACTTATTTTTAGCGCAGGAGTCTAATCAGGTGTAAAATCCGCAATGAGCAAAATTTCAAGAATTTATGTTCATTTTTTTCAAGAAAATAAGGTTTTTCAAGAAAAAGGCATTTTTCTTAAATTGCTCTAAATTTTTTTTTTTTTTGTCTTTATTTTAGAGATTTTTAGCCTGAGGCTAGTTCATCTCTTATTAAATTGCTCTAAATATACCTGTAAACTTAACAAAATATGCCCAATTCTGAGCCAATAATTGATAAAATGTATACTGAGTCAGCTGTCAACATTAAGATACGTACCTTTTAAACTTGTGCTCTTAGAGCCGTTAATCTAAAATTTAAGGGCAGCTGTACGATCAATTTTGAGATACACAGTAAATACAAAATTTGCTCCACAAGTACTATCCAAATGTTCATATCGCGAAATGAAGCATCGAGAAGACTTTGATATTGTCGATGCAAGCTGAACTCCCAAATCCAAGCTTAAAGTTGCATAACATCCAACATCCAGCAGCCACCAAGCGTTAGAATTTGCAGTTTTTACATTACAGATGATTCTTGCTGTATAAAGGGTGTATTCGATTACAAATTCACAAACATAAACAAGCAAAAAATAGGTCATGATCAGGCATGGAAAATCATTTGCATTCATTTCGTGCATTCATTTACATTCATTTGCCTCTAACTTTTTTCATCAACAGCATTCCGCAAAATGATGTATAGAGCTTTTGTAGGGTTTGTTAATAGCTACAACTTTTGTTAACAAGTCAAATCCGTATCTCTGATGAATGACGAATCAGAGCAAATAGAAGCCACTACTGTTTTTCAGTGAATGTATTTTACATACACTGAAAAACAGTAACAAGTTCTGCCCGCTCTAGTTCGTGATGCATAAGAGATACAGATTTGAGTTATGACCAAAAGTTGTAGCTAATAACAAAACCTACAAAACCTCTATACATCATTTTGCGTAATGCTGCTGACGAAAAAGTTAGAGGTAAATGAATGTAAATGAATGTACGAAATGAATGTAAATGATTTTCCATGCCTGGTCATGATTCAAAAACGAGCTTTGATGTGGATTTTAATCAAGAAAACAAAATGTTATCTCAAAAATGTTATGCAGTGGTGAAGACCTACACTTTGCTAATTATTGCTTATTTTTTCCCATTCCTTGATCAATTTATTAACGGATTATGAATCTTTAAAGTGTTACAGAAAATGCTGTTTTTGTTTGGCTTAAAAGTATTGATTTTTCATTTGTTGAAGGGTTTCGATTGCGTAAGTCAAAATGAGCCGAAATTTTGAAGAGTATTTTCAGATCAACTGCACAATATTTTGAAACATAATATTTGGCTATACAATTGGTAAGGTTCCTTGAGTCAATAGCAACCATGACGAAAGAACTTCCTTGCATAACCGCTACCAATGCTATCGACGCCAGGGAGGCAGCTTCCACACCTGGACCCTACCTATCGACCCATCAACTCATGAATCGGGGACCAACGGCTTTACTTCCTTTCCGAAGGAAGGCGTGATCAGAGATGTTATACCTCAGAACAAACATAATGTAGTACTAGAATGGGGTCTTCTTCTTCTTCTTCTTCTTCTTCGCATTTCAAGCTTAATGCATATCGCATATTAGCTTATTGCGTGCTCTCAACTTAGTGTTCTAGATGCACTTCCACAGTTATTAATTGAGAGCTTTCGATGCCTGTACCATTTTTGCATTGGTATAATTGTGTGGCAAGTCCAATCATACTTCTATGCCCAGGGAAGTCGAGAAAATTTCCAACCCGAAAAATTCCTAGACCGGACCGGGAATCGAACCCAGCCACCTCCAGCATGGTCTTGCTTTGTAGCTGCGCCTTTACCGACTGAGCTAAGGGAGGCCCCTCTAGAATGGGGTACGTTAATCGATTTGCTTGGGACCAATAGGCTAGTCAAGCAGTGAGCCAATTTAAAATCGTTAGTTTCCACCGGTTGGTTTTATTCCGAGTTTCCGAAAGGCCACCGGGAGAGAAAAGGTACCAGTCGTCTAGAACAAGGTGATGCTGGAAATCCACAGCAGCAGGCATCTATGGGTAGTGCTGATTAATATTTTAACAAAACCAACCCACAACCTCGTTCTAAATATTACATATCCACCAGAAGGCCATCCGGTGACCCGGATCAACCTCAATCTTGATTATTATGTGTTCTTGATCAAAGTATGCCTTGATTGTTGTCTGCAACTATATGAAATGAAGTAAAATTGCGATTTTTGTTATATCAGCTGGTCATTGGCTCCAAGTGTCAGTCACCAGATGGTCCGCCGGAAAATTCGGAACATCCGTACAATTAACTGCTTCATTGTAAATTTGATCAAAGTAGGCCTTGATTTTTCCTGCAACTATTTATTGTGGTTTTTGACATATAAGCTGTTTATTGACTCCCAGTGGTCACCAGATGGTCCGCCGGAAAATTCGGAAAATCTTTAAACTTGATTGCTGTGTAAATTTGATTTGTTCTTTAACTTTATGGAATGTAGTAAAATGGTGAGTTTTGTTATATTAGCCAGTCATTAGTTCTAATTGGCCACCGAATGGCCCACCGGAAGATCTGGAACACCCGTAAAATGTATTGCTTCGTAAATTTGATCAAAGTAGGCCTAGATTTTTCCCTGCATGTATTTGCGGTGTGGGAAAATATTAGCTGGTCATTGGCTCCGAGTGGTAACCAGTGTTTAGTGGACACTCAGTATTTAGAACCAGGTCGTCGATTGGCTTTGTTAAAATATTAATCCATGATCATCTTGTTCTAGACCCGGAAACCTAGGAAACCCGGAATACAACCAGAGTCACTTGGCCATTCTGTTCCAATTTTCAGTAGACCATAATTTCGAACATTTGTTTACTCACTGTAAAAATGTCAGCCAATTTCATGGGGAAACAAAAAAGTTATACCCATGCAAACATTGCTATTCGTATACCTGTACGTAAAAATTAAAACCGCGCACACCGCAAAGGTAAAGTAGGTGGTGTTCATTTGAAACGCTAAAAACTTTTCGGGTTTAACTCGGATTCACATCCTGTTTTCAGTCAAGATGTTCCCAATACTTCAAAGATTCTACATTTTGTACACGAAGAAAATCAAACTTCAAGCCCTTTGAGCAAGGTGTTCCCGTGAACCAAATGATTTCAAATTTTGGCAGGGTGTTTCTAAACCTAATCTAATTCTAAAATCTAATTCTAGTCTTTGATTTTTTTTCCATTTAACGCCGAAACCTCTAGTGCTTAGGGTAATTTGCCAATTCTTGCACACTTCATATTGTGACAGGCTATTCAGTGATCAATTGTTGAATGATAACAAATGTGTTTTTGAAAATCAATATTAGGAATATTGTGTTTAATGTTTTAAATATTTTTACATTGTTCTGATGATATCAGGCGAATTCTTAAAATTAATTTTTCTGATAATAATCTTCAGTTGTAATATAAGCTATTAGAAGCTGAAAATTAATTTAAGTTAAGTAATGTTTACAGGAAAATTTGCAATGTAAATGTACGTTGTAAAATTTTCATAAAAATAATAATGGTCAATAATTGGATCACATTTAGACTCTTGGTCCCGAATTATTGTCTTTGGCGATAACGCCTGAAGGTATGCAACGTTCATCACGTTATACAGCACAGCAGATGGTCAGCTGGTCAGGCTAGATCCTGCTTCAAAAAATAGGTTTCAATTTGACATTAATTAACGTGACGTATAACTGGCTCTGATTTCCCAACGAATGAGACAGACAGCATTTTAAAAACTTAATCAAAGTGAGGATTACAGCGGGGCTGTGGTGAGGACTGGGTGCGTGAACAAGGTAGAGCTCCACCGCAGGAGACAGTGCCCGGTCCGGCGGAGAAACCCCGACGGCAGAAAAAATACACAGTTCGAAAAAGTAGTGTAAATTTCTGTCACTATGATGCACATAAATGGAGCGTCACATACCATACAAATTCACATTACAGATCGTGTAAATTTATGAGTCATTTCATGAAATATTCTAAATATTTTTTGCAACCATCCATCTTTGTAAGCAATATTTCTTGCAAGTTGCTAGTTTACGTAAAAAGGAAGTTTACATGCTCCAATTTTAGCATGCATGGATGTTTACATCACCATTAAAATTCATATTTTTTGGTGTGTAGGAAGGTGAGGAAAACACGATCAGTGCAGCCACCAACGGGGGGCTAGATTTTATCATGCAAGTGGGCGTCCTTCAGAAAGGCGATCGCCGCAGCCAACGTTGAGGGGTCGTAACCAAGCAGATTACTGACGTTCTCCG